ATATATAATAGATATTGTCTTTTATATTATTATATATATACTATATATCTGCAAAGATGAATGCTGCATAATTCTGTCAGTCATGCGCGGTCAATACGCTCTGTGAGGTTAATCCATACTGTTTTTTCAATTCCTTGAATTCTACTCCTTAGCTGGTCATTGATCAAGTTCGTATTAGTTATGCAGCCTGGCAAACCAGTTTAATGTTTAACACTACAGGCATGGTAAATACACAAAGCAATGAAAATGATGACACGAAAACGAAAATTACTCAGCTGAACGAGCTTAAGCATTAGAGGTTAATTCCTGACAGAACATTAAAGGTAAGTTGCCTAAACGATCTTCAAAATAACCCAACTTTTTTTTTTTTTTAATTAAAATTGTGATTTTAAATTAGCCCTCTGTGAGCTTACAATTTCTTCTTCCAGGATCACTAAAGTATTCCAAAAGTACAACATCTTTTACATGTTAGCGGAGTTCTTTACACATTACAGCCCGGCCCTTTGAAGTAATAACAATAAATGTCAATCACCAAAACACCAGGCCTAAAGAGCAATCCATCTCTCAACATAGCAGAATAACTTGGGGTGCTATAACACAACTTAGGAAAGTCACGCCCAAACTTAAAGACTAACCATTGGCAGATCAACTGCTTTACAGCAGCGTGGAACCAATAACATGCAATCCCAGTAAAATATAGCCATGTGATAAAATACTACCGGTGTAAGCAAAATGTATAACCTGTGAGAGAGGTTGGTTACAGCAACCCACTAGGAAGTTGACTGAAAAGGCAGGCACTTTCAAAAGACTTGGTCCAGCTGATTGATGAACCATCAGCACTAACGCAGATCAATAACCAGTAAGGAGAAGAGGAGAAAGCCTTATTCAAAAACAAGAAATACCTCACTGTGTTATGCTCTTCTTTCAGAATAAACTCTCTATCTGACATAACGGTGCTAATAGCGACATCTAAAGATAACCCTTTGGATCACCGTAATTGTTGTTCTTTATCTCTCTATATATATATATAATATATATCATGTGCTTACAGGGGTTCATGTATATAACCATGTTCTGCCTGGAAGTCAAGTTTCATATTACCTAAACACACAAGTTTGTTGTGAGTGATTTCTGATCTCTCACTTCTGCTCATTCCTTCCCTTTAAAACTGAGTTTTGTGTTTTGTGTCTTTATCGTGTTAAACAACATAAAGAAGGGATGTTTTGATACTGTTTGGATGTAGCTGAAGAGATCTTGGGTCAACATTAGCTAACGTGGGTATCACAAAAGTCTCGAGTGACCTTAGGGGAGGTGTGCAATTGTTTATTTTTCATCTAATGAAGCCTTTCTAAATAGTTTTAATATTTATCATAGATATATTTCCGTCTGTTCATCGCACATCATACCAGCAACAAAGATGACTTTCAGAAGTATTGAGCCATGTTGCAAGAGCGATCATATTGCCAAATGAAGAACAAATATCTTATTGGAGTTGAAAACAAAATCTTGTTGCTTTCCCAGATGTACAGTTGATGTAACATAAATCTGTGGTTTTGCTAAAGTTTAGCCTTGTGTCTGTAGATGTTGGCCTTTTCAAGAAGCCTAGAAAGAGAATCATCAACATAGATACCTACTCGCACACCATGGGACGTGGATTTGAACTGGATCAGTGGACTGATAATTTGTGTAGGTCACTACAAAGGGCTAAACAGTCTTCAGGGCTGCTGCTAAGTATGGGCACTGTTTTAATCTTTTGGTGAACAACAGACTCGTCATAGGTAAATATCTGATGTGGAGCTTACTTTACATTCGTCAGTGGATATGAGTACCTGATGTTGGGAAAACAAAAGAGCTATTTTTATTTTGTGTCATGGAATACATTGAGCCATTTGAACATAATTGGTTTAACCCACACCAGACACACTCAAGTCATTGTGGAAGTCAATACTCCCTTTACCTCTTTGTGTGGTTATCTTACTGATGTTAACAGTGGTGGTGTAGTTAGGCAGCCCCTTTACCATTCCTATTTCCCTAACCCTTTCTTAGCATGCTCTGTACAAGGCCCAGACCCATACCTCTTCTCCCTCAAACCTACATGTACCCCTACCCACTGTCCCCCCCCTCCCCCCTTCCACCTTGGCACTGAGGATCATTGCACAATGTCTATGTGAAGGGGTATGGACCTTATGATCAATATGTGGGCATACATGGGGGTGGAAAGGGAAAATAGCCAAAATTGTTAATCGGTGAAAAAAAAAAAATATATATATATGTGTGTGTGTGTGTGTGTGTGTATATGTATATGTATATATATACATATATTTATATATATGTGTGTGTGTATATGTATATGTATATATATACACATATATACAGAAACGTAAATGAGATTTTATAAAATAATTTAAAGAATAAAATTCTAAAAAAAAGGTTTCTGCCTTGTGTTTTTGGGTGATTAAAACTTGGTATGTAGTACGATCAAATGGTTGCAATGCAATGTGTTCACAGAATGCAGTCTGTTTGAATTACTATGACTACATTTTTAGTGTTTAGAATTGCGTTCCTGTAGGTTTTGTAACTTAACCCCTTTTTTCTTCCAGGCTGCCAGTTTGATTCTGAGTTTGCCGGCTGCTCAGTTCTGCATAGGTTGTTTCTCTCCTGTATGACCAGCAGATGGCGACAAATACGCACAAATAGACAGACTGAGGCTGCATTAAATACTCCACCCTATTTAACTTAACATATATGTCTCAAAGTAGGACTTTCCACTGCTTTTCTGTACAGTGGAAGAAAGGTTTAGCCAAGTCAGTCTTTTTGTGTGTAATATTTTCCACTATGAGGAGAAGACAAGATGTCTCGAGAGCATATTTTACTGTAATAAAACAATGTGACCGTTGCAGCTAGGAAATGGAGTAAAAATGGAGTATCACAAACTACTCAAACAATTGTATGAACCAGTGGTAGGAAACCTGCCGCCCTTCTCCAGTGGTTCTCAGTGGCTTTGACAAAACATAACAACGGTTATTTATTATTTCATTTTCAGTTTCATTTATCGTTGTTGTAGGCCTAAAGTGACTCTTACATTCAGCTGTATAAATGTGTAGCCAGACCATATAAACTTTTTCAACATTTGGTCAACTAAAATGTGCGTCATGACATCCTGACCCTAACTTAAAAAGCCCAGCTAGCTATGGATTCCAAATCACCCCCAAAATGTAATAGTGCGTGGACAAATTTGTTTGCTTTCACTACCTACACTGCAAGATATTAGCAGTATAAGTATGTTTACGTTGCTGACCCCTGGCATGGACACAGAAAACAAAAAGAGAACAGGATAACCTGACACTCAGATCTTGAGCAACAGAACAATATCTGTAAGGATAGGTTTCCACATGGCAAGATTTTAAAAATTTACTGGTAACTTTCCTGAGATGATACAAAGTGAGATTTTTGATTATGTATGCTTTTTGGTTACTGCCTGTTCTTAAATGTGTTGTCTTGATATGGGTGACAGGCAGTAAAGTTTTTGAATTTTGAATAGGAGTCCTCATCTGCACCCATAGAAGCTCAGGTGGATTTTCTTTTATATAGCCAGCCATACGCCAGACATCTCATTCAGCTGTTACCTGAGATCCTCACGGTATGCTTAATCAACTACAAGAGGATCACTTTGGATTGGACACCTGCTTAAGATAAACTAGCAGATGCTTTTTTTGGCTCACGGTGCTTTAACAATGTAGAACTGGAGTCTGGAGCCCTTTATTAGTCTAAATAAGCTTTAATATTGGGTATAATAATTGGATCAGTTTCTGGATCAGTGCCTGCTGCCTTCAACAGACTGATGTTAGATACAGGATAGCGGTAGCTGAGTTTATCCACGAAAGGGGAAAGCAGA